GAGAGAGACAGAGGCAGAGGGAGAAGCAGGCTCCATGCAGGGAGCCCGATGCGTGACTCAATCCTGGGACCCCAGGATCACGCCCTGGGCTGAAGGCGGTGCTAAACCATTGAGCTACCCGGGCTGCCCAGGATTTCATTTTTTTGATGGCTGAGTAGTCATTGTGTGTGTGTGTGTGTGTGTGTGTGTGTGTATCCCCCACATTTTTATCCATTCATCTGTCGATGGACATCAGGGCTCTTTCCATAATTTGGCTATTGTGGACATTGCTGCTATGAACATTGGGGTACAAGTGCCCCTTCAAATCACTACTTTTATATGTTTGGGGCAATAGCAGGTAGAGCAATTGCTCTATTTTTAACTTTTTGAGAAACCTACATACTGTTTCCCGTAGTGGCTGCACCAGCTTCCATTCCCTCCAACAGTGTAAGAGAGGGTTCCCTTTTTCCATATCCTTGCCAACATTTGTTGTTTCCTGTCTTGTTAATTTTAGCCATTCTGACTGGTGTGAGGTAGTATCTTATTGTGGTTTTGATTTGTATTTCCCTGATAGTGATGTTGAGCATTTTTTTTATCTATCTGGTGGCCATTTGTAGGTCTACTTTGAAGAAATGTCTGTTCATGCCTTCTGCCTATTTCTTGATTGGATTATTTGTTCTTAGGGTATTGAGTTTGATAAGTTCTTTAGAGATTTTGGATACTATCACTTTATCTGATAAGACATTTGCATATATCTTCTCCCATTCTGTCAATTGTCTTTTGGTTTTGTTGACTATTTCCTTTGCTGTGTAGAAGCTTTTAATCTTGATGAAGTCCCAATAGTTCATTTTTGCCAGTGTCTCCCTGGCCTTTGGAGATGTGTCTAGTAAGAAGTTGCTGCAGCTGAGATCATAGAGGTTGCTGCCTCTGTTCTCTTGGATTTTGATGGTTTCCTCTCTTACATTTAGGTCTTTCATCCATGTTGAGTCCATTTGTGAGTATGATATAAGGAAATAGTCCAGTTTGATTATTCTGCATGTGGCTGTCCAATTTTCCCAACACCATTTGTTGAAGAAACTGTCTTTTTCCATTGGATATCTTTCCTGCTTTGTGGAAGATTAGTTGACCATAGAATTGAGGGTCCGTTTCTGGGTTCTCTATTCTATTTATCTATGTGTCTGTTTTTGTGCCAGTACCATACTGTCTTGAGGATACACTTTGTAATAGAGCTTGAAGTCCGGGATGGTGATGCCACCAGTTCTGGTTTTCTTTTTCAACATTCCTTTGGCTATTTGGGGTCTTTTGTGGTTCCATACAAATTTTAGGATTATTTGTTTCAACTCTGTGAAAAAAGTTGATGGTATTTTGATAGGCATTGCATTGAATGTATAGATTACTCTAGGTAGCGTAGACATTCTCACAATATTTGTTTTTCCACTCCATAAGCATGGAATGCTTTTCCATTTCTTTGTCTCTTCCTCAATTTCTTTCATGAGTGTTATGTAGTTTTCTGAGTACAAATCCTTTGTCTCTCTGGTTAGGTTTATTCCAATAGAGTATCATGTCATCTTTGAAGGGTGAGAGTTTGACTTCTTTGCCAATTCAGATGCCTTTTACTTCTTTTTATTGTCTGATTGCTAAGGCTGGGACTTCTAGTACTATGTTGAACAACCATGGTGAACGTGGACATCCCTGCTGTGTTCCTACCTTAGGGGAAAAGCTCTCAGTTTTTCCCCATTGGGAATGATATTCGCTGTGGGCTTTTCATATATGGCTTTTATGAGTTGGAGGTATGTTATCTCTGCCCCTACACTGTGAAAGTTTTCATCAAATGCTTTTTCTGCATCTATTGAGAGGATCATGAGGTTCTTGTCCTTTCTTTATTAATTTAATGTATCACATTGATTTATGGATTTTCAGTCACCCTTGCAACCCAGGAATAAATCCCACTTGGTCACAGTGAATAATCCTTTTAATTTACTCTTTCTTGAAATTCCTTTATTCTTGGTGCACACTCTAGTTTTGTGAATTTATTTCCCATTCTGTAGTCTCTTGGCATTATCCTTTTCTGTTAAATCTCTAAAATACTGGATTTTTCTTTTCAGGGCTTGATATTAGGTATTCTTTTTCTAAATTCCATTTGTGTGCTATTAATCCCCAAATTTACATCTCTAATATAGTCTTCTCTGAGCACCAACTATTATCCTCAAGCCACTGGACATTTTCACTTGGATGTCTTATACACATCTTAACATTTAACTGGCTCACTGTTAAACACTGATGTTCCTCAGATTATTCTGTGTAGTTGAAAATGGTACTAATACACAGTTATTTAAGCTATAATAGTAGAATTTGTCCTTGATTCCTTCCTTGTTTTGATTCTTTCTCACATTCTGTTCATTAGTAAGTCAGTTGTATTCAACCCTCAAATTGTTTTTGCAATGATCCTAGTTGAGGCTACCATCTTCTTACTCCCTGTGATCCTGATTATTCTCTGTGGTCTGTTGTTTACACAAGAGGTAAGGCAGTATTTTAAAAATAAACTAGAATACATCATTAACCTGCTTAAAGCTTCTCTTTAGCTTCCCATGTTAAAATGAAATCTAACTTCCTACTGTGGCCCTTTGTGATCTGGTATTTTCCTAATTCTCCATTCTCCTTTTGAACTACTCACTCACTGAAGTTTTCCCTACTGATTGTCTTGAAATACATTATTATTGCCACCCCATTCTCTGGCTGGCTACTTCTTATCTTTACAGTAACATCTTAATTGGTGTCTCTTCAGAGAGGTCTACATTGGCTGTTTATAGTAGCTCTCTGCCTTATTTTTTTCAACACCCCATTTATTTCCATTCTAGCACTTAACATCACTTGCAATCAATTTGATTGTGTTTCTCCCTATTAAACTAGACAATGTCCTCACCAAGTACAAAAACTTTGTATGTATCTTGTTAATTATTATGCCCTAGCACCTAGAATGGTAGCCTGATACATAATTGGCATGCAGTAGATGTTCACAGGGCCCTCTTATGTTCCAAGTACCATATGAGGCATGAGAAATATTGTAGACATCAAAACAAACTCCCTCCCCCTCACAGAGCTTTTTGTTCTGGTTAAGGAACTTGGTAAAATTAAGTAAATGTCAGGATTCCTCATTATGCTTTGCTGTTTAGCTTTTGAGTTCAAAGAGCCACAGTTGGGCTATCAAAAGATATGAGGTTATCTCAATCTATTTGGTTCTTAAATTTTAATTAGTGGATAATGAGAACTCAGAGATTGAGGAATACAAACTCTGTCTTAAAATATATTCATATCTATTTTGTTAAGAATTCGGAGAGTCAGGAGTACCAATATGATGTATGTTGAATGTTTTAATGGCAGGAAAAAAATAAGAATGAGAGAACAAGAAAGTAATGGGGGTCAAAAGAGAGGGTTGTTTTACATAGGATGGCTCGAGAAGGTAATATTTCAGTAGAGGTATAAAGGGAATTTAGAATGAGCCATAAGGATATCTTCCAGGCAGAGAAAACAGTCTGCTATGCTTACCAAATTTGAGGGCAGCAAGCCAGTAGACTGAAGTGAAATAAGTGTAGGGGGTAGTGATAGGAAGTGAGAGTGGGAAGAGTGGGGGTGGGAGCATGCATAGGTAGAGATATCATGAAGGTTCTTACAAGCCATCGTAGGGACTTTGGCTTTTACTTAGTAAGATTAGAAGTCATTGGGCATTGAGCAGAAGGGTTATGATCTTATTTGAATTTTAAAATATCACTTTGGGGATCCCTGGGTGGCGCCTGCCTTTGGCCCAGGGCGCGATCCTGGAGACCCAGGATCGAATCCCACATCGGGCTCCCAGTGCATGGAGCCTGCTTCTCCCTCTGCCTGTGTCTCTGCCTCTCTCTCTCTCTCTCTCTCTCTCTCTCTCTGTGTGTGTGTGTGACTAGCATAAATAAATAAATTCAAAAAAATTTAAAAAAAAATAAAATAAAATATCACTTTGATTGTGGGGCACTTGGGTGACTTAGTCAGTTAAGCTTCTGCTTCGGCTCAGGTCATGATCCCTAGGTCCTTGGATCAAGCCCTGCATTGGGCTCCCTGAGGGAGTCTGCAAGTCCCTCTCCCTCTGTCCGGCCCCCCCCCCAGCTCGTGCTCTCTCTCTCAAGTAAATAAAATCTTTTAAAAAATATCCCTTTGCTATTTTGGGAATAGACTATAGGATGTAAAAGCAGAAGAAGGAAGGCCTCCTAGGGTTCTACTTGCAATAAGAGAATTGATGATGCCTGGAACCAGGGTGATTACCACTTGTAATAGTAACCAGATTCTGGATAAAAAGATAGAGCCAAATGGGTTTGCTGATGGATTGGGATATTAGATTTGAAATACGGTGGAGTCAAAGATGACTCCAAGGTTTTTGGCTTGAATAATTAAAAGAATAGAGTTACCTTGATAGAAGGATAGACTTTTGAAACAATAGATTCCAGAGTGATGTTGATCCAAATGTCGTTAAGTCATGTTTTCTCTGGGAACATACAGGGTGGAAGAACATACACAATTGTTCTTTTGGCAGAATCACCTGAAGGATATATAGATGAGAGAATTATATTCCTATCTGTTTTGTGTCACTCAATCTCTGTCACAATTTTAAAGTTCTTGGATATTTATACAGAGCATTCTGGAGACCTCACATAGTAGTATTTACTTTGTCTCCAGGATGTCTGAAATTTTTGCTTGTATTCACAGCTACCTGAAACTAATCACAGAGCTCTATTAGTGGGAGTTTAATAAGCCAGACACCTTTTTGAATAAAATTGATAAGTCTACCATTAATAGCAGGTTTGAAGTCTCTAATATTATATCAAAATTGGTCTAACAACTGTTACAAGTATGTATGGGAGGGTTTCAAAGGGGAATGGGAATATTGTGTTTATATTGCTAAAAAACTGAACTAAGTGAATTAAAGTAGAATACTAAGGGAAAAGTAGTTTACATTTTACTCATATTGACTCTGGTTCACACTTTAATAGGCATTCAACATAATGTAACGGTTCCTTCTGTTAAAGAAAAACAATTCCCCAAAGCACTGGAAAAAGTATTTAAGCAGCAAGTGATTCCCTCTGTATTTCCTGAGACATCTATGTCTCCTTCAAACATGGCACAAGGTACTCCACTCAACTCTACCTCACAAACAGTGGCTCAAGTAAGTTCATTGTAGCTTTAAAATATTTCAGTGTAAGGGGTTGTTGTGACTAAACCTTTTTTAAGTTGATATGAAAATTGGTCTTCAGTATACCACAGTCAATCTTTTTGTCTGTGTATATTTTGTAACAGAGACCTAGGATGTGAACCAAATTTTAGAGATTTCTTGGTAGAATTTGAACTAGTTTATTATATTTTTAGTATTAATATTGATTGCCCAACTACCTATTTTATGTGTGTTATACAACTTCTGTTGGGTTGATAATTTAAAATTGTATACTCTAGCTGATTTCAGGTATTCAGAAACTTGTTTTTTTTTTAACTGTGATTTTTTCTTATATCTTTCATTTATCTCAAAGGTTTATTCAAGACAATTCTTTGGATATTAGGAAGAAAATACTTAAACTATTTTATTTTACCTACAAAAGAGAAATTAGCCTTTACTAATATTTAATATGGGGAAGACTTGGTTCTGGCAAGGTTGAAAACTTGCTCTGAATATCCCCGTAATTATAGTTTTTGTTGTTGAATTATTTCAGGTTACAAGGGGTGTGAAGAGGAAAGCAGATACCACAACTCCTACAGCTGCAGTAGTTAAAGCAAGTGGCGAATCTTCCCCAACACTTACAGAACAAAAATCAGTGAAAACACCACCTCTAAAAGAAAATGTGCTGAAGACTGTTTTTCCAGATTCTCAGCAACAATGTAAAGTTGTAAAGAATGTTAAAGTGACCGAACAGTTAAGGCATTGTAGTGAGATTCTTAAAGAAATGCTTGCAAAGAAACACTTGTCCTATGCATGGCCCTTTTATAATCCTGTTGATGTTAATGCTTTGGGGCTCCATAATTACTATGACATTGTGAAAAATCCAATGGATCTTGGAACTATTAAGGTAAATCTTGTCTTAATAGGAGGAACTTCTTTTCTTGATTATAAAAGTTACCTTATCATTGTAAAAAATTGTATTAATTCAGAAAAAGATAAGAAAATTAAAATTGTTAGTAAGTCATATCACCTGGAATGAATCATAGGAAAATTTTTAAATCTCTTTCTTTTTCTTCTATTCAAACTTACCCATGGTTCTTTGCCACAATGTTTGAGTTACAGTATTGTTTTTTTTTTACAGTATTGTTAATATAACTCTGTACCCTGAATTTTCACTTAGTATATTATGAACATTTTCTCCTTACATATTCAAGATTATATTTTTAATAATTGCATGATTCTGATACAGTGTTTGGTTTTTTTGTTTTGTTTTGTTTTGTTTTTTTGGAGGGGATAAGGCATTTATGTAGTTTCCAGGCCTCTCTACCTTTTTATTATTTTTGGTTGTTTGCTGGCTTCATCAGGTTTTTTGAATTAATTATTATCTTTTTAATTTCTTTTCTTTTTTACTTTTTTTTAAGTAAACTGACCCCCAACGTGGGCCTCAGATTTGTGACCCTAAGATCAAGAATTAATCAACATATAGTTGATATACAATGTTATATGATTGAGATGTACAATACAATGATTTGACAGTTCTGTACTTTATGCAGTGCTCACCATGAAAGTATAGATCTGTCACAATATATAATGTTAATATGATATTATTGAGTTTATTCCCTATTCTATACTTTTCATCCCTGTGGCTTATTTCTTAAGTAGCAGTTTGTACCTCTTAATCCCTGTCATTTATTTCACTCATCTCCCACTTCCCCCTTGCAATCATCAGTTTGTTCTTAGTACTTATGAGACTATTTCTGTGTGTATGAGTGTTTGTTTTTTTAAGATTCCACATACAAGTGAAATGATGTGCTATTGTCTTTCTCTGTCCTATTTCCCTTAGCATAATACTCTAGACCAGTCCACATTGTTGCAGATGACAAGATCTCATCCTCTTATAGCTGAGTAATATTCTACTCTGTGTGTATGTGTGTGGAGAGAGAGAGAGAGAGAGAGACATCTTTATCCATTCATTTGTTGATAGACACTGAGGTTGCTTCCATATCTTGGCTGTTGTATATAATACTGCAATAAACAGGGGTGCATATATCTTTTTGAGTTAGTATTTTTGTTTTCTCATATGAATTATTTATAGATCTTGGATAGTAACCCATATAAGATACTTAATTTGCACATCTCTTCTATTCAGTTGGTTGCCTTTTTGTCTTATGATATTCTTCACTGTGCAAAAACTTTTTTGTCTGATGTACTTTATTGTTGCTTTTGTTTCCCTAGAGATAGAAAAATGTTGCTAAGGCTCATGTTCAAGAGATTACTGTGTATGTTTTCTTCTAGTTCTGTGGTTTTAATGATTTCATTTAGGTCTTTAATCTGTTTTGAATTTGTGTATAGTATAAGAAGGTGGTTCAGTTTTCATTCTTTTGCATGTATGCTAGTTTTTGCAGCACCATTTGAAGAGACTGTCTTCAGTCTTTATTTAGAACCATTTATTCTAATGGTTCTTTTGTGGAGTTTTAAGGTTTTCTATATACATTATCATGTCATCTACAAATAGTGACAGTTTGACTTTTTCCCTACCGCTTTCAGTGCCTTTTACTTCTTTTTCTTGTCTGATTGCTGCAGCTAGAAGTTTTAGCACTATGTTGAATAAAAGTGAGAATGGACATTGTTGTTCTTAGTATAGAAGAAAAGCTTTCAGTTTTTACTAACATCAACTATGATGTTAACTGTGGGTTTTTATATATAGCCTTTATTTTGTTGCAGTATGTTCCCTTTAAACCCACACTCTTGGGATCCCTGGGTGGTGCAGCGGTTTGGCGCCTGCCTTTGGCCCAGGGTGCGATCCTGGAGACCCGGGATCGAGGTCCACGTCGGGCTCCTGGTGCATGGAGCCTGCTTCTCCCTCTGCCTGTGTCTCTGCCTCTCTCTCTCTCTCTCTCTCTCTCTCTCTCTCTCTCTCTCTCTGTGACTATCATAAATAAATAAAAGTTTAAAAAAAATAAAATAAACCCACACTCTTGAGAGTTTTATCATGAAGAGATTTGAACTTTGCCAGATTTTTTCTGCATTTATTGAGATGACTGTATGGCTTTTATCTTTCATTTTGTTCCATGTGTTGTGTCCCATTGGTTGATTTTTACAGATACTGAATCATCCTTGCATCCCTGGCATAAATCCCACTTGGTTATGGTGAATGAATTTTGCTGATATTTTGTTGAGGATTTTTGCATCTGTGTTCATCAGAGATACTGATTGACTTGTGATTTTTTTTTGGGGGGGTAGTGTTTTTGTCTGGTTTTGGTATCAGGGTGATGCTGGCCTCATCAAAGGAATTTGAAAGTTTTTCATCCTTTTCTATTTTTTAGAATAGTTTGAGGAAGTTAGATATTAACTCTTTAAATGTTTGATAGAATTCGCTTGTGAAGCCATGTGGTCCTCAACTTCTGTTTCTTGGGAGTTTTTTGATTACTGATTCAATTCCATTACTAGTAATTTGTCTGTTCAGATTTTCTGTTTCATCATGATTTAGTCCTTGAAGATTGTGTGCTTCTGGGAATTTGTCCATTTCTTCTAGGTTATCTTAATTTGCTGTCATTATTATTATTAGTTTTTGCAAATGTCTTTGTATTTCTGTGAATATGTTATTACCTCTCTTTCACTTCTAATTTTAAGTCCTCTCTTTTTTTGATGAATCTGGCTAAACATTTATCAAGTTTGTTTTATTTTTTCAAAGGACTGGCTCTTGGTTTCATTGGTCTTTTCTGTTGTTTTGGGGTTTTTTTGAGTCTCTTTATTTCAGCTCTGATCCTTATTATTTCCTTCCTTTTACTAATTCTGTTCAATTTCAAATGTCTTCACTTAGAGGAGAATTTTAATAAAAACCTTTCATTTAAATGTTCAAGGTTGGTTTAAGGAATGTATCTTTTCATGGCTTTCCTAAGATCAAACTTGTCTGAGATGATCTGGAAATGCACTGTTTTCCTGCTTTTGTGATTTTGTTCCTCTTCTTTTTTTTTTTTTTTAAATTCAGAATATCCTCCTTCCTTATCTCTACTTGTCAAATTTCACTGGATATTTTCAAAGTCAAAAAATATGAAACAAGCAGAATTTTAACATTTGTCAAATTTGGAGGGTGGGTATCTGTTTTTGGTATTACCTGTATTCTTCTGTATATTTTAACTATTTCATAATATAAATAAATAATGGAAGTTTTCAAATGATTATTGAACTATACTATTTGTGAATCCTATAATTTTTCCTTAATTTAGGGAAAAATGGACAACCAAGAATACAAAGATGCATATGAATTCGCTGCAGATGTTAGGTTAATGTTCATGAATTGTTACAAATACAATCCTCCAGATCATGAAGTAGTGACAATGGCAAGAATGCTCCAGGTATGTTGATAGCTGTGCTCTGAAAGTGAGTTTCCTCTGAACATGGTATGGAGATTTTAGAGCCATAACTCAAAAGATAAAGAATGCCCCACTTTCCAAGTATGAAGTGTAATTTATTAATTAGAGTATTAAAATGTGGGGGTTGTTTTTTGAGGTATAGCACACATTAGTTGCAAATCTTTTAAGGATTCTGCCTTACACATAGAGGATATTAGGGAAATATTAGTGAAGAGGGGGTTAATATAGATAGGATTGACTAGAGTCCATGTCCCTCTTACGGTAAAGCTCTAGATTTTTGAGGCTGACACAGTGGGAGGTAGTGGAATGATGCACTAGTCATGGGCAGGAAATCCTTGAAAGGTCCTCTCTACAACTTGAAAGGTCTGTCTTACATAGAAGAGAGGAGAAAAATTGCTATGGTTGGCAGGCAAGGAAGCATGAGTCTTATGTTTCTTCCTTGGTAAATACCCCCCATCCTCACCCCGTTTTATAGAGATAAAATTGACATATAAAATTGTATAAGTTTAAGGTATGTAATATGGTGATTTGATGTATATATTATGTAGTGATTACCACAAGGGAAAGTAGAATTATTATCAAAATATGACACTTTCGTTAAAGGGTGTTATTGCTGTATGTATTTGAAAATACATAAAATCTTTATAATCTAAATTTCCATTATAGGATGTTTTTGAAATGCATTTTGCAAAGATCCCAGATGAACCTCTCGAGGGTATGCCCGTCTGCTACATCAAAACAGATAACACAAAAATCCCTGGTAGAGAAAGCAGTAGTGAAGCTTCCTCTGAAGATAACTCTTCTGGTGATTCTGAAGATGAACGAGTTCAACGTCTTACAAAGCTTCAGGAGCAGGTATTTAATTGTATTGATAAATTTTTTTGTATTTTTATGAGCTGTTGCAGCAAATCTATTATAAAATCCTTTTTGTAGATTAAAAGTCGTTACATTAAGATCACTTAGCATCTATGGCATTTACTTCTTGGCACATTTGTAATGCTTAATATTCTTTCCCTACCCAAATATCTATGTATCTTTAAATTCTGTTATTTATATTCCTCACCATCATGAGTTCATTCCATTGAAATGATTTATACGACATAATCCAGGATATTTTATGGATGAGATTTTTAACATTGCTACCTTTTGTGAGAAAATGTTAACTTACTCTGAGCTCAAGCCTGAAAAAAATAATTAACATTATCTGGAAATGTTAATTTTCATGGTCTGTTTTTAGTTGAATATCTAAATTTATGGGTTGAGCACATGATAGTATTTTGATTTCATGTATGCCTTCAAAATAATGAATTTGTGGAATGAAAGAAGACCCTGACAGAAATGTAATATAAAATGAATTTCAGGATACGTTTAACTTTTGAGTGCCTTCATTTTTTTTCTAATGTCTTTAATTATCTAGAGCTATGAATGTTTAAAGAATTTTTTTTCTTTATCAGCTGAAAGCTGTTCATCAACAGCTACAGGTTCTCTCTCAAGTACCTTTCCATAAGCTAAAGAAAAAGAGTAAGTCTAAAAGGGAAAAGAAGAAAGAAAAGATTAATAACAGAGGTGAAAATCCAAGAAAAAAGTTTAAGCAAATGAAATTAAAGGAAAAGTCCAAAAACAAGTAAGTATCCTTTATAATGCCTTATTCATATAATAATATTATCTGAAATAAATTTGACTAAATTTAATTTTTGTTTAGTCAGCCAAAGAAGAGGAAACAACAGGTGTTTACTTCGAAACCTGAAGATGAGGATAATGCTAAGCCTATGAACTATGATGAGAAAAGGCAGTTGAGCTTGGATATAAACAAACTTCCTGGAGATAAACTTGGGCGAGTTGTTCATATAATACAATCAAGAGAGCCTTCACTGAGAAATTCCAACCCTGATGAGATAGAGATAGACTTTGAAACACTGAAAGCATCAACACTGAGAGAACTGGAAAAGTACGTTGCTGCATGTCTAAGAAAAAGACCCCTAAAGCCTCATGGTATGTATTACTGTGTATCAGTAGAAATCAGTCTGTACTTGTGTTACTTTTTGGTAATACTCTTTTTTACTCTTAAATCACATAGGTAAGAAAATAACAAAGTCCAAGGAGGAATTTCATTCACAGAAAAAACAGGAGTTGGAAAAGCGGTTACTGGATGTCAATAATCAGTTGAATTCTAGAAAATGTCAAACAAAATGTAGGTGGCAGTTTTTTATGTGTTTTTTGTTTTTGTTTTTTAGGATGGCAGTTTTTAAAAAAATGTTTTTGTGATTATTTAATTATACTGGCATCGTAATGTGTTTCCATGTTTTGTAGTGGAGGAAACTCAGTCATCCAAGGCTGTTGGAAGTGGTTCTCGACTCAGTGAAAGCAGCAGCAGCAGCAGCACAAACAGCTCATTGGAGACCGAGGGTAGTAGCAGTGACTCGAGCTCCTCAGACAGCAGTGATTCCGAATCAGGTTAGCTGGCCCCTTACGTGTGCCTCTGTTTGTGGGAACAGTTTTTTTTTTTTTTTTTTTTTGTATTATTGAGACTTAAACTTTTAAGAAATGTTTGTCACTTACCCAGAACCTATGGTTTGGATGCCACACTTATTTCATTACATGTTGACAATCTCACTATTTTCTTTAAAAAAGATACTGTGTAAAATGAAACTTCATAATATATGTATATGAACCTCATATGTAATATATGTATTACAAACCTCTAGGTTTGTAATATTGAAAAGAAGTTTACTAAAGGTGGGAGATACTTTCTTAATACATAATGCCAGATCTTCATGTGAGAAAATAACAAATAATAAAATTCCAATCTTCACTTCTTTTTATAAAATAATTATTTGAGGACATCTTTTACTTTACTCCCCATGATATATTAGACCACTCTAATGTTGCAAAGTATATCCTGTTGTGACAATATATTCTAAATTGAATAATCACTTTGAATTAAGACACCAGTCATCCCAGAAAATGTTTAAAGCAGAATCTTAGTCACTTTTGTGTTTTCTTCACTATAGAATATTATCTTCCATTTATAGAAAAATGCACTTCAAATAGAGATTTTCAATTATGCTAAAGTAAGGTACCATATTACTTTAGTAGTTTATCATCAGCTGTATCAAGCTTAATTCATTCATGTTTTCTTCGTGCTCTTTCATTGATGGTTATGTAGTTGAGAAGTAATCACTGTCCCAGGGATACCAACTTGGCAGTGGCATTCCATTATTGTCCACTAAAAGGCACATTCAGAATACAGGGCACTTTTGTCTCCAAATTTTTGCTTTATTTTAAATGAGATGTTTCTCGTTTGTCCTGAAATTCAGTTCTCTTTAAAAAAAAAAAAATCCTACACAGAATATTGTCATATCAGGGATTCTTACCATTTGTAAGAATATCTCTCATTTCAATGTGTAGTAAGGATCTGCTGGCTTGCAAGTACACTATGTTTCACTTTTGGTTCTGTTTAGTTTGCATTTACGTGGTACTGATTGCTGCATTTTGTTTTTACATTTCTGAAGTATATAGTGGTAGACGTTTTTGTTAGAATAAAAAAATTACTTTTGTTGGAATTTATCATAGAAAATTTTTTAATTAATTTAGGGCTCTGATTATACATTATTTCCATATATCTGACTTTAAAGCATAAAACAATGCTGGAAAACTCTAAGTTGCATTTAGTATTTTAATTGTTATTAGCATTTGTAATTTCATCTAATAAAGCATTTGTGGCCTAATAAGTTAGAGCACTTTGTCTTTTATTTGTAGGGTAAAACTGAGCTATCCAATTATGTACTGACTACTGATTAATAAATGCCTTGAGCATTAGTGGGAAAGTGGAAAAGTACTATATACAGAGTACTTCAATAAAGGTGTTCAAAAATACCTTAATTTTAATTGGAATTAGTTTCTGATAGATTCTTTCAATTACATTGCTTGAAGAGAAGATGTTTATTATCCACTATGTTCTTAAAATGGTGTAATATATGTTTTCCTAATTTTCTAGCAGAAAAAATTATAATTTTTTATCACATTTGTGTTGAATTTTTATTTTATGACTGGCATTCTTGTTTAATGTCATCTTTTTCAATAATGGACTGTTTTTGAAAACATTGTTAAAATCAAAGTAGCACATTTTTATATTTCAGCTGACATTATGGATAGTGTGTAGGTTTGTGACACTAAGGTCAGTCTGTCTTCTAACATGATAGTATGAATTTGCATTTTCCTTTGAAGTTTTTGTTTTATGGACATTGAAACTGTGTACTTCATTGAGAAAACACTGTTATAAATTACAAACACAATGCCTACCTCCAATGAGCATTAAGTTCTGTTTGAGTTTTTGTTTGTTTTATTGTTTCACAAAAATAAATTAGTGAACTTAGGACCTCTGTCCTAAATATTAACTTCAATTGCATGCATTAAAATGCTGTGAGGTTCTTAATTTTTAGTGTGTAATCTAAGAACATTTTTTACTTTCTTGAACAACAAAAACTATAAATAAAAGGATTATAAATGATGAAAAATAATTAAGTCAAATTGTATCAATAGCAATACTTAAAGTAAAAATAAGTAAAGCATCTACCATTCCTAATTGTGTACATGACATTCTCAAGGAGCAGATGACAAATCCCAAGTCTAAGTCTCAGGGTGGAGGGAAATGGAACTACTTACTGAGAAAATACAATTTGTGAAAATCAGGAATATTAGCAAACGCTTTATCTGTTATATAAGTAAAAATTAACTGAAAATATACATAAGATTGTAGCTTTAAAATTTATTATGATTCGCCCAGAACTAAAACTTAACATTTGGAATATCTTTATTACCATAACTCTGGTTAATAAGACTTTCAGTTATTCAAGATAGGAGATATGAATAGAAGTTCATTTCTTCAAAATTTTAATAGAGGAAAGTTTTCTGGAAGCTTTGGTGAGAAATTCTTTTTTGATAGAAGGATATTGTCATAAGCCATTTTTTCTTAATCTATTTTTTATACCTGCCTTCTGGAATTTTTATAGCAGCCTGTACAGTCTTCTTAACCAAGTCATAATCTTTTGTAATTTTGGTTATCAGGGATGGAGTTCTACATTAACTTTTCTTAATTCTCCAATATTATTGACTCATATGGTTCTTTAGTTATCCTGTATTATGAGTTGGTCTGTCTTTACTGCAGTAGCATTCTTTTCAGATGTGCGAAATGGGTGTGTGAAATTTTTGAAAGGTAACATCTGTGAAAAACATTTAAGTGTTGTAAACTGTGTTGCAGTTGTTTATTCCACATTATTTAAATGATTATCTTCTATGTATTCTCAAACTTATTTTATGCACTTTTGAAAAATACACTCAATTCTGCTTTGCTAAATAGGATTAAATGGCAGAGCTGTGATTTCCAAGGCAAGTTTGATTTAAAAATTCTTTAACACTTCAAACAAGATATTAAGTCAGTTCCAAAATATAGTTGGAATGAAAGCCCAAATCTTTGAAAAATATAAACGAGATATCTGTGGGGTAGAAACAGTACTTGAGTGCAGATTTGTTGTAATTTGGTTTTATTGTTTATTTTCTTGATTGACAGCATATGCAAATTGTCATGTGCAGATTAGTCAAGAACATTTATTGAACATTGGAATAAATATAAAACCTTCCTAAATTATTTTTTCATAACCATCAAAATGTCATCAACTGTCAGGTTTGACAATAAAGTGAATTTCAGATGCTTATACCCTTGCTGGGGTCTGCTTGTATATACATATAACCTGGTGAGAGTTTTCTAATGTTCAACAATTTTGGCTATCCTGAGTGATATAACAGGGGAGGAATATAATAATTAATAGATTCAGTCCTGTGGATAATATTACTGAGAAATAATCAAATGGGAGTAGCTCATTGGTAGTAATGCTTTTGATAGAAATCTTATAGGAAACAACTTTGGAACTGTCTAAATGTAAGCTCAAATACTTGATTAGTGTAGAGTAGAATATTTTCCAGGAATGTTTATAATTTTAATTGTTTAATATTTAACACACAAAGGAACCCAGTGGTTAATTTGTTGCTTCATTTATTAGACTTCTTGCTTTTATTGGCATCAGTGTAATATTCAGAGAATGAAATTTATAAAGTTCTTTAACAGGTTCTTTTTAAAAAAAACTTCCTTAATCATGAATGAATTACAAATATGAACAAAACAAAACACTTTTCTTTTTAGTTCTACAACCTAGGTTTTCTTTTTTTTTTTTTTTTTTTTACAACCTAGGTTTTCTATAGAAATGACAAGGATATGATTTTTTCCACACAAGGGGAAAAGGACAAAAAGGACTTGGTTCAAGTCTAGATTTTGTTTTACCCCTTTAGGAGAAGGTTGGTTTAGTGAATGTAGGACGTAATAAAATGACAGTGTGGAGTAATCTTTTCCATTTGGGAGAAATGATCAGAGTTTATTATATAAATTTTTAAGGCTTTATGACGTCCTCATCAGTTAAAGTGTTTTCAAAGCAAAAGCACCATAGAGATAAATTCAAGGACCCAAGCTTGATATATACTTGTATATATTGAGGTCCATATGTGAGCCTTGAGTCTTAGAAATTAGTGATGAATTTTGTCTTGTGAATTTAAAATTTTTTGTCCTATATGGGCCTTCCTGCCTGAATAAGCAGGCTGTGTAGAATAGTATTATCTCAGTACATTAGAATCACCTGTAAAACTTAAAAATAGTATCCAAACCTGAATTGAATGGAGAATGGGGCCAGGTATATATGATGTTAGAAGTATCTCAGGTGACTTTAATGTGCTGCCACACATGAGAACCATTGGCCTTGGGTTTTTTCCTTTTGTTTCCACTTTTCAGCTCTAGTTTTAATAATTTAGTAAAAGGAACAGCAGTTTATTTAGTAATGAACCTTGCTTCTCCCTCTGCCCCACCCTCACGTATGTGTTTGCACTCATTCTCTCTCTCCTCAAATAAATAAAATCTTTTAAAAAAATAATTGGGTATTTCTCTTATCTTAAAAAAAACACCAAATGCTTCAATAACAATTGCCAAGCAAGCAAATTTTTTAGTTCAAAAGCAAAATGCTTGATTTCTTTTTTCTTTTAATCAATAGAATGCATCTTTTGTCGTAAGTTTGGGCAAATCATTTAACATCTCTGGACGTTCGTTCTTTCTTACAAAATAAGGTAGCAAACCCTAGTACTGAATTCCTATTACCTTTCTAAATTCTGTACTATGTAACGCAGTGTGCTTTATTTTTCTAACTTAAAAGTATTTTTTTCCTGCTTATATGGCATAAAGTTCTGGTTTTGCACTACAGTATTATATTTATATTTAGCTTATTATGTTTTTTAGGCCATACTATCTTGCTGATAATATTTGCTGTCTCTACAGCATTCAACTCAGTGCTTTCATAGGTTATGGTATTAAACCAACTCTTGGATTGGTTTAATATTTGATTGCAGCACTCTTTTTTATTCTATGATTGAATTTTTTTTGCGTTAGTTTAAAATGAAGACTTCCCAAACAAAGTTTTATATTGAAGTTCTGGGAAAGATTTGAAAATAGAACATATTACTACATAACACGCATAATATTCATTTGCATATTTGCATAACACATATACCTGATTTGATCCTCTTAAGGTAGGTATGCATATTATCACAGTTCCCTAGAGAATCAGTTGACACCATAATGCTCAATTTCATTAATGATTGTAAAACCTAGGGCGTCTTCACTAATTAAAATGAGATCTTAAGCTTAATGGTAAAAATGTGTATGTTGGCCTTTTAATTGCAAAGTCCAGGAACTCATAAATAAATAGAAATAAACAGCTTAAACTTTACTATGTTTCTGGAAAGTCAACTATGTAAGAGTAGAATAAGCCAAAAGGCTGAGTTTTAGTCTGTCATTATTCATCTCTCCATAGTCTGTAAGACTTTTATGAAACATACTGTATTGGGTGGTTTTGACATTTTTTTAAATTGAAATATAATTGGCACACAATATCCTATTAGTTTCAGGTATATAATACAGTATTCAGTATTTGTATACACTGCAAAATAGTGACTACAATAAGTCTAGTTACCAATCTGCTTTTTTTCAATTAAAAATCCTTTGATTCCTTTTGCTACTATCTTCAGATTTGGAGATGGTAATTTTTAAAATTCTGAGTTTTATTTTTATGTATCAGAAAAATAATGCCCTTCAATTTCTTAGTAGAACACTAATGAGGTATGTCATTTTATTGTACTTAGAGTTTATGTAAATCATAGAATAATGTAGTTTAGCTGCATATTTGAATAGTTAAGATGGATGTGTAGATGTGCATATAGTATATGATCATATTAATTAAGTCTGTTTTTTTGTTCAAAGCCAAAACCATAATGTATTCCCTAAATTTGAGAGCTACCTGGATCTATAGCCTCAATCTTTGCTGTCTGTATTTTTCCCTTCCCTTCCATCTAACCCTAACACTTAAATAATACTTAGTGGAGTGACATTAAGATGGTTTGTGTCATTTCAAATATTTGAATTCTTTAAATTAAAGCACTTCATTGAGTAGCATTTAGCAGTTTTAACAATGTCCAGCATCAAACATTTTAGGAGAGGAAAGAACAGTAACACATCCAGTGGAAACTGATGGCATTTCAGGAGGCAGAAGGTAATTATTAAAATTAGAATGTTTAAAGTTTGAATAAGATTTTATGTTAAACCAGCTTTGGTGCCCTGGAGCCTGAAGCAAATGAGCTCCGGTGGCTCATGAATGCTGACCTGGAGAGATGGGTCAAGGCATTAACTGCCTATTTGGTGCTTTACCACATTGACCTAGGCTTATGATTGGGGAGAACAGCACCAGAACCAACTGTAAGATTAAGAAGAACCTATGAGCACCATGTCAGATCTTTTTATATCTATTCTACCACCAGTGTCCACTATAAAGGTATTTCTAAAGGTAAAGAAGGTAGTGTAAAAACCATTTTTTGCTACATAGTTGAGGCTGCCAAATAGCTAGAAAGTAAAAGGATTATTTGGAGTCTTTCCTATAATGTTTAGTAAACAGAGCAAACTTTACCATGAAATCGAAGCTTCACTTTTCATAAAAGACTCAGATAAGTGACATACCCTTCTCTTTATAGTATTCTTAATTATTTTAATTAAGTCCCTTATGGCTTTATTTATGGCTAATTAATAAAAGATTTTACTATAGTTCATCCTACTTGTTTAAAACCTTATCTGTGTTGTAACTTGTTCCTTTTTAAACTATTACTTATTCAGACTCTTTGCTATGCTATTCTTTTTGCTTAAATAACCCAAATTGAAATTTGTGAGTGGATATTTATTCCATTATATGAAAAAGAAAATATCCCTATTAAAAAGCAAGTATCGCTTTATAATTTTGACTGATTGAAAGGTCAAAACTTGGTAACTATAATAATTTCTTGATCTAAGGTATTAAAAGTATTTTCTTGAAATGACCATTTTATTTCTAATATGAAAAACATTTATAACTTAAATGGTAAGTTTTTAAGCTGCCAAATAGTGAAATCTTTTTTTATATACATTTGCAGAAATGTTTCCTAAATTTACTGGAGTAAAACAGAATGATTCTCCTAAAGAACAAGTAAAGGTAAGTTAATTCTTCATTTTTTATCTTAGAATTTTAAAATGTATGTTATGTCACTGGTGTAATAAATCATATAAAATTTGTTTTGATTTTATTTACAATGAAGAGCTGTCACTCTTTTTCCATTTGTCAACTAAATATTGAAAGATGTCTTCCTCAAGAATATTGAACACAGGAACTGTTTGGCTACATTTTTTTCTAAAAAGATATAACTGTTCTATAAATAAAACACAGTAGAACAAATTATAAGAGTATGGAATTAGTCTTGAGGTCTAAATACAGAGGGAAGGCCTTGCTTTTTCTATATGCACACAGTAGGATGTAGGGTATGCACAGTAAGGTGGAATTTCTAAAGGTAGGAGGAAAATGGTTGGGTTTAAGATGAAGCTCATAATTACCAGCTATTAATTTTAGGACATCTATGATTAGTAGTTGATGTGCTTTGGAAAGGATAGAAGTAATTTTATCTCTTACTACCTGAACTTAAATTCAGGTTGGTCTCATTAAATTTTAATTTTCTGAATCCTTATCAGATATAGAATTATAGGTATATATACCTTTATTAAATTATACATTTTTAACATCTAACTAGATTAGGGATGTTCAACATTCAACATAAATACATGTTTTGAGGGAGCTCTCAGTTGTAAGAAGAAATATAATCACATGGTTAAGAGGTTGTATGAGGGACGCCTGGGTGGCTAAGTGGTTTGGCGCCTGCCTTCGGCCCAGGGCGTGATCCTGAAGTCCTGGGAGAGAGTCCCACGTTAGGTTCCCTGCATTGAGCCTGCTTCTCCCTCTGCCTATGTCTCTGCCTCTCTCTCTCTCTCTCTCTCTCTCCCTCTCTCTCCCTCTCTCATGAATAAATAAATAAAATATTAAAAAAAGAGGTTGCATGGTTAGTGCTATAATTTATATTCATAATTTATTGAGAAAATGAAGAAGGAATATATACACTGCCTGAAGGAGAGAATGCTTAAAACAGGTTAACTAAAGGGAAAAGGAAGGAATGGTTACTACATTGACACAGATTAAGGACTTATTTTTTTTAAAGGTGTAGCATGAAGAGAGGCAAAACACAGGTGGTGTATTCAGGGAAATGTGGTAACAGAGGGTATTTGTAAAGGATTAGTTGGCTTGGGAGATAGAATAGGGAGGATTTTGAATGCCTAGGTGAAGTGTTGACTGATTTGGTAGGCAAGAACGAGTTCTTGAAGGCTTTTGAGTGGGAACAAGAAACATAATCTGTTGTCATAGGTATTGGAGGAATCAAAATTATATCAATGAGTTTTGAAATTTTATACCTATAAAATGCTGTCTTAATGATCTGCTTGTGGCCAGAATTTTTTCAGTGCCCCTCACTGAGGAACAGAATGCCCATTGATAATAAAAAAGGGAATATATTTTTAGGAATATGAATAAATGAATATATTTTTGTGTTTCAGAAAGTGATTTTTTTTTTTTTCTGATTTAAACCTCAGCATTTGACTTTAGGTTTTGAGCTTGGGCTTATATTATTGTAGGTATAAACATTCCTAGGGCATTAGATTTATTCAAGCTAGCATAGGTATTCATACACTTGCCTTGTCTTTTCATTCACCCTAACTCCTTTGTTAGATGGAGGAGAAAGACTGTCTTACTCATCTCTGTACTACGTACAACTTAAAGCTTAGTAGATAAGGTACCTAGGCTTTGGTATCTTAGCTTGCAACTGAGTAGTTGTGAGATTCTAGGTAAATTGCTTTTATTATATTTAAGTCCCATTGTAAACTGTAGATGGGGATGATAGTTATACCAAACTCAAGAGATTATTGTGAGAATTGAACTATATGAAGGGTTTAGCCTAGCACCTCATACATTATAGGCATTAAATAAGTGTTAGCTATTATAATAGTTTTTACTTAATAAATTAATCAGAATTTGTTGATAGTCTACAGGTTAACTATCATGTGACTTTTACTTTACTCTTCCCATTATGCCTATAATTCAGTAAGGATAGGAGGTAAAAAAAAAAAAAGTGGATTAGCCTCTAGATTGGGTATAAAAGCTCAGTTTTTATTTTCCATAGCTCACAGGAAAGCATTTCAAAATAAGCAGCACTATTTAATAACATGCCTAAGGCTATATGTATTATTAAGATTATCGGCTTCAACTAACTCTGCTTAAAATTATAGGATGGCCAAGCCATTTAATCTTTCCACATCCTGATTTTCTCATCTGTAAGAATGGGATAATTATACCTTATAAGTTTGTGTAACTTAAGTAATACCATTTTTTTTAAGAGTATTGTTATGTTTTTTCTTCTTCTGTTTTAAATTTTTTTAGTTAAATCACTTGTGTGGTTAAAACTCTGAATGACAATTTTATTTATCTTTGTCTTAACAGATACAGCATTCTGTGCAAGATAAAACCTCTGCAAAAACTACCCTTGTTTGTCAGACTTCATATTCGTGTGAAACACCACCAAATTACCATCAGTCAGCATTGAATCATCAAGAATTAGAACATTTACAGGGTGTAAAAAACATTTCACCTTTACAAATTCCACCTCCCTCAGGTAAAAAGTTAATTAGTAAATAATAAACTTCAGGTTAGAAAAAATCACTGAAGCACATTGTTAGAGATTATCTGCTTTATACTTAAGATACTCATTACATTTGAATAAGAAAATTATGTGTACAGTTCACATGCAACTTACTTTCAAGTAGATTATGTACATTGGCATTGGCATATGCCATATATTAAAACCTTTCACTGCCAGTCTACTACTCTACTACTACTACTACTACTACTAATACTAATACTACTACTGAGTTCTGAGCAGATTTAGAATTTTGCTCTAACTTCCATGATGCTTATTTGAATTGGAAAGGTAGGATGGAATATGGAAAAGATAGAGGTTATATAGATAGAGAAATTAAGTTATATACATGAGAAATCGTTTAAAACTAAGGAAACCTGGGCTAGAAATACTTGCCTAGCAGTGGTTCCCATTTGCCAAAACATCTTCGAAATCTGGCTAAATTTTTATATTGTTAGATTCATTTGACTAAATATCCTGTCTGTTAGTCTTGTCAGAAGTGAAAATATTGCCTGTCTCATCTTGATTCTCCTGCCAGTGTTTGGCACAAAGGATAATTCTCTGATACTGATGAACTCAGCCTAGGAGTACCTGAACCTTAAGATACTATTCAGGTCTAACCTAAAGGCAGATGTGAATGAATGTTCCTTATCCACATCTCCTCCCCTTTAGGCTGCTCACTGGTTTGTATTTGGCCTTCCAATGACAGTGGTTTCTCCAAAGCAGAAGAAATTTCTAAATTGTTTTACAACAGCACAGATTAGGAGGAACAGAGAAATTTTGATTCTCCTTTATTGCTTCTAGTGGTAGCTCCCTACTGTTCTTTGAGTATTTCATTTTGTATTTAACTCAAGTTATAGCTCTTCCCAAAGCAACACTGGAGGGCATCCCAGAAATAAAGATAAAGATCCAAAGTATGAAATACTTACATCCATCCTTTTGTGGAAAAAAGTTTTCAAATTATGCAGGAGCATAACTGAAAATGTAGTAATTCATGAATAACCTTGAATACAAGTGTTCCATTTGGGTCTTTTATTTTGTATACAAGTAGCTTCAAACAGGAGCATACTGAAATCTGATTTTATATTAGGAAGTGGTTGTTGCTTAACTATATAGAGGATGGATTAAAGTGAAGATGCTCTGGAGTAGTTGGGACCAAGTAAGGAAGCTGAGTGCTGTAGTTTAGGAAGGAAATTATGAGGACCACAACTAAGGCAGTAAGTATGGAAAGGAAATGGATAAATTATAAAAATATTTTTGTGGTGCAGCTGATAGGCTTTGTTATAATAAATATCTTGGCAAGGTATCATCCAATAGCTGGATTGAAGATAAGAGGTAGGGCTGCCCGGGTGGTTTGGTCCCGCCTTCAGTTCAGGGTGGGATCCTGGAGACCTGGGTTCAAGTCCCAGGTTGGGCTCCCTGCATGGAGCCTGCTTCTCCCTCTGCCTGTGTCTCTGCCTCTTTCTCTCTCTCTGATGAATAAATAAATAAAATCTTAAAAAATAAAAAGAAAAGAAGAGGTAGTGCTCACTTTGGATGTGTTTGAGGTACTAGAGTATCTAATTGGAAATCTACAACCGTAAATAGGTTTCTGAAATTAACAGGATATAATGAGAACTATAATTTAGGAATTACCAGCGCATAGAAGCTGCTTGAAACTGAGAATGAATGAACACACCCGGGAAAATGTATAGAGCAGGAAGAGAAAGATCAAGCACAAAATTGTAAGAAGCAAAACTTCCTCAGTTAAAATAGAAAAAAGTAAGGTTAAAAGATGATGTCATCAAATCACAAGAATATAAAAATACCACAAGAGTATATACTGCAATGGATTAAAGTAAGATGAGGAGTGAGGAGAGAGGATTAAAATTGGTAGTGTGAGGGCAGCCCTGGTGGCCCAACGGTTTAGCGCTGCCTTCAGCCCAGGGTGTGGTCCTGGAGACCCGGGGTCAAGTCCTGCATCAGGCTCCCTGCATGAAATGGAGCCTGCTTCTCCCTGTGTCTGTGCCTCTCTCTCTCTCTCTCCATGTGTCTCTCATGAATAAATCTTTTTTTTTTTTTTTTAAGATTTTATTGAAGTGGGGGTGCAGAGACTCAGGTAGAGGGAGAAGCAGGCTCCATGCAGGGAGCCCGACGTGGAACTCAATCCTGAATCTCCAGGATCACGCCCTGGGCTGAAGGCAGCACTAAACCGCTGAGCCACCTGGGCTGCCCAATTAATAAAATCTTTAAAAAAATAAAAATTGGCAGTGTGAGGTTTTTTTTGCTTTTGCAAAAGGTTTTTTTACTAGCCATTGTGATTGGGGTAGAAGACAAGTTTTTCTAAGTTGAGAAATAATGGAATGTGGATGTACACCAGTCTTCCAGTAAGTTTATTGGTGGAGAAGATAGCTATGGCTTTAACAGAAAAATAGTTTTGGGGGCGTTTTTTGGTGGGAGTTTTTTGGTAAGATGAGGAGACATTGTTTCATTATATTTGAGTTTTTGAATCAGAGAGATTTGGACATGTTTAAAGGTTGATCAGAAGGATCCATAATATAGAAACTATTTTTATTATAGTAAATTCATGGAATATTGGTAGGCATAGCCCTGAAGAAGTAGATAGTGGAAAATAATGCAGTCAAGATGGTCCTTTGTTCCTATTTTAAGAAAACATCTTATCTATAGAAAGTCAGGCTTTCAAAATCTAAGCCTTCTGTTGGAGTAATTTTATTGTATGGATTAAATTTTTATTTATATGTGATTGTGAGTAAAAGGAATTTGTGTGACAATTATATAAAAGGAATGCAAATGTTTGGACAATGCCAGAGTGGCTATTCTATTGCACTTACCAAATTTTTCAGAATCAAGTGTTTTGCATTTTCCAACTGTAGGTGGCACAATGCCCAAGGGAAACTGCAAATGTATATAAGCTAAAGTTACTTTTCTGGAGTTTAATCTTGATGGAAATAAAGTTTTAGTTAAATCTTCTTAAACAATGAGTTTTTTCACTTAAGTTTTAATAAAAGTTTGACAAAATGTTAGGAGTACATAAAAACTTTAAGAAATTGAATCACGTGTTAGCAGTTTATTTCAAAATTACTGCCATCGTTTCCACATGAACTGAAAAATGCCTTTTTTCCTTAAAATAAGTTGGTCTTAAGTTACAAAAGATTAATGGCCTTATCCTTTTAACTTCTTCATTTCCCAGATTCATTTCTCAGCTTACAAATCTTCACTCAATTATATTAAGATTTTTTTAAAAAATCAAATGCTTATGTTGTCATATCATTGTGAATTAACATAGCAAATGAAAAGGTAAATCAAAGAGTTTGGTATCTAGTAGGAGAAATAAACAACTGGTATACAAAGTAAAAAAATACTGTTCCCTAAAAGAATCAAAACAAAATTTAAGGAGTTGAGGAAGGCAAAATTACCCCATCTCTTTGGCAGATGTATATTTTACAGATTAAGTATCATTTGCACTGGATATTGGAGGAAGAAGTAAGACTTATCTATATATATCTAGGACTGAAAGGCATTTTGGATGGAGGAAACAACATGCATGAAGGTATTTAGGCAATCGATAATTTAATGTGATTAAAGTTTTGGTTGGATAAATAAGCACGTGGGAGAATGAATTTGGAAAGGTACACCAGGTTCAGATCATAAAGAACCATGTTATCTACAGACTTTGGACTTAATGCTATAGTCAGTGGGGAGCCAGTGAAGGGTTTGTTTGTTTGTTTTTTTTTTTTTTTTTTTTGAGTAAAGGGTGTGCCTCAAGTTACTTAATTTACAAATATTATATAGGCCAGTTGGAGGACTGGGCCATAAGGACCTGAGAAAGAAGAGACCAACAGGGCTTTTGCAGTAGTAGGAAAAAAAAAATGAAGTAACAGAAAGAAAGAAAAGGGAAAGGTTGAAAAAAATGACAAGGGCAGAATGAGCAGGTCTGTAAAACCTGAATATGTGCTAGATTTTAATAACAAAGTATTACAACCTTAAGTGGCTCAGAATATAGGCTAGATACTGGTACAGGTTGGAAAACATAAGTCTGAGGAAGAGAAGTTTTGTGTAGGACCAGAGGGTCATCCCCCTAAAAACATTTTTCAAAGAGACCCTTGACACACTTTCTAGGCTTCTGTCACTCTATTTCCTTTGTCATCCCATCTCTTTGAATGTTCCTTACAGATATCTCTGTATCTGCCTAGCTTTAAATGCTGATAACACGGAGTTGTATCATTAAGCCTTTATCTTTTTACTTCAGAGCATTCCAGCCATGTTCCAAAGCCTATGTTTACTAAGCTAGTGATCCCCTCAGCTTTATAGCAATATTCTTGGAACAGCCTTCCCATTTACCCAGGTCTGCCATACATTGATTATTTCTACTTATTAGAACATGTAAAAGGTTGGAAGGCAATGATCTATACATCCTGCCTGAATGATCTCAGTGTCTGTGACTTCTAGTCTCATTTTTACAAATCAAGCATCCAGGCTTCATGCATATTTATACAACTCCACTGAACATCTTAAATATCACATAGGCATGTCAAACACAGCATTCCAAAACTGAATTTCCCTATTTTAATCCCCACATTTTAATCTTTCTTGTTTTCTTTAAAAAACACTATTGTTTTATTATCAGCAGGACTGCCCTGCATGGGGCAGTGGACACTGGGTTGAGGATATGTGTAGGATGTGAGGAGGAGATGATGATTGGGTGGCTGCTTTGAAGGAAAGGGTGATCTGGAGGCCAGGTACAAGAGCCCTGCAGGTTCACTTCCAGCAATATGTAGACCTTTTAAAGGAGTCCTGGCAAGCTATGGCCATACCACCAATAAGATTAAGAAATTCCTGGAAATCTATCTGGCCATCAGAGTTGAGGTCCAGTTTTTTCATCATGCAATGAAAGATACAGGGTCCATCTGGTTTTTTGTGCCAGTTCTGTATTCATGAAGGTTAGGAACTCTGTCTTGGAGAGTGTGCAGTTGTTACTCCTATCCAGCACACTTGGAAAGCAGCCATCAGAAAGTCGATGCACTGTTCAGTTTCAGTAGGGTTGGACATTTTTGCCATACCTGCTTGGAGGAGGCATGGAGCCTGTGACCAGGTGGCGGTGGTGCTACTCCTCTTTAATTCTTGATAATAGTATTGCCACCACTTATCTCAGCAAACTGAGAGTCATTTAGAGTTTACTTCTCTTGTAATATATACTCTTTCTATTTTTTAAATACTATCTGGCCTCAAGCACAAAATGGATATAGTTCTAAATTTATAGTTTAACTCCCTATTTTTCCATTCCTTGTTGAACGGAGAAAACATAGGTACCATTGGGCTACGTAGGGACATACAAATTTAAACTTTCTTTTCATTCATGACTCCTTTGTAACTGTTTTTTCTCACTCTTCTCTGCTTACTCCCATCACTTAACTTTCTTCTCTTCTTCAAGCCTCAACTTCAACTAGTAGGATTTGGCCAGAGAATCAGTCAAGGACTTGATGGGTAGTAGGGGCTTAAATGTAAGTTCCTCCAATATGTAAATGGCTAGGATTTTGTGAGCTTGAATCAGTTAACAAAGATAGCAGCTTAGTTTTCATTTATCTCCTCTGTCCTTGCTCTACTTAAGGCCTGTAGAAAAGAACTAGGGAGAATTAAAAGAGAAATGACCCAAATAAGTTCATGCATCAGGATGTTCATGGTTGTGTATGACAGAAAAGTCACTTCAAGATGGCTTGAAGGACGGATGCCTGGGTGGCTTAGTGGTTCAGCGTCTGCCTTTGGCTCAGGGTGTGATCCCGCCATCTGGGATAGAGTCCCACATTGGGCTCCCTGCAGGGAGCCAGCTTCTCCCTCTGCCTATGTCTCTGCCTCTCTCTATGTGTGTGTCTCTCATGAAGAATAAATACATCTTTAAAAAATAATTTTAGGGATCCCTGGGTGGCGCAGCGGTTTGGCGCCTGCCTTTGGCCCAAAGCACGATCCTGGAGATCCGGGATCGAATCCCACGTCGGGCTCCCGGTGCATGGAGCCTGCTTCTCCCTCTGCCTGTGTCTCTGCCTCTCTCTCTCTCTCTCTCACTGTGTGTGACTATCATAAATAAATAACATTAAAAAATAATAATTTTTAAAAAAGATGGCTTAAAGGATATAAGGAATTTTGTTAGCATATATAACCACTATAGTTCAAAGATAAGTCAGTCTTTAGGCATGATTTGACCAAGGCTTACGCTCTTTTTATGTAGTTATCTTTATCAATAATAAGTGAAATATTTGTATGAAAAATTAACAACTAATAGGATTACATGGTCTATTCTCTTCACCCCAGAGTCAAGCCAACCTTTTACATTTTGTACTCTTATCTCCTCACTAGTTATTATAGATATTTAGTGTCTTAGTTCTTCCATTCTTTGTGTTTTCTTTGTTTTTAATTTGGCCACCAAGAAGCATCTTTCCCTGGGAGCCCTGCATTGGCTTCAGACTGCTCTTTCCTAAATGACTCACTAGTGTCTGTAGGGTTACCATGATTGGTTTGGCCTAATAAAAACCTGTCTCTAGAGCTGAGCATCAGTTTGCACACTGGAGGACTGTTAGACCAAAGGGACAGATAAAACGGATTTTGGTAGGTGAGTCACAGTGTCAACTATAATGTAGATAAAACAAGAGGACAAATTTCAAGTGAAAAAATGTTTATTTTACAGTTCCTCAACTAAGAATATTCCAAAGTTAAAACAATATCAAAAATGAATCACTTTGTTTTCATAGTTTCTGACCTGGGTGGGGTGGGAAGGGAAAAAAAGTCAAATTATGGACAAACAAAATGAAATCACTTCATTATACTGTTCTAAAACTGTGTGCATCTAGGTGATACTGAACAGCATTTGAATGGCCTAACTGTGATGCATCAGTCTGATGATAATGACACAAGAGTGTTAGAATCTGAATGTCAAGTACCTGTGCAGAAGGTAAGAGAGTGATGTTATTTTTTCCTCACGGATCTTGGAGGGTTTTAAAATTGAATATGGAAGTGGAACAAGGGGTATTTTAAGCCTTATCTTGAATGAGATTTTGGATCTCTAAGCTTATTTAATTAAAAAGAAATATTCTTTGGCCTCTTCAATTAAAAAAAAAGTTATTTGTGAACAACACCTCCCCCATACCCTCTACCATCAGTTCTCATGCATGTATTTAATTATAAGTTCTATAATGCTGGTATTTGCCAACTATCCTGATTTTATTTTTTTAAGATTTTTTTTATTTATTCATAAGAGACACAGAGAGAGAGGGAGAGGCAGAGACACAGGCAGAGGGAGAAGCAGGCTCCATGCCAGGAGCCCAATGCGGGACTTCATCCCGGGACTCCAGAATCACGCCCTGAGCCGAAAGCAGGTGCTAAACCACTGAGCCACCCAGGGATCCCCCTATCCTGATTTTAAAACATTTCATAAAGCTATCTTTTAGAATTTGTTATGGGGGATTTCCTAATGGAGTCTTTGGTGCACTTACACTCAAACTACACATTGATCGTTCTTTCAACAAATATAAACGTTTTAGATGCATTAGGTATATCGGGTACTCTTCTAAGCATTTGAGTCATTCTCTGAAACTTAACTATGAAGGAGATGTTTATATCTTTTTTCTTTTCCCTCCTTTCTCCTACCTTTCCTCTCTTCCTTCTTTTCTTTCTTTTTTTCCTTGCAGTACTTCAGAGGACAAATCTTATTATTCCTAAGTGTTTGGGCACACTTAGGAATATCTAACATTTCACCATAAGGAGCATACTGATTTGATCCTTGTGTTTTCATAATATTTTAAATTTTCTTAGGTAATGTGCCAATAATTACTATCATCAGAGATTATGTTGAATTTAGGTGTTTTGTTGTTGATAAGAATCATTTTTAAAAGTGCCCTTTTAAAAAAAGATTTTATTTATTTATGACACACAGAGAGAGAGAGAGGCAGAGAGACACACGCAGAGGGAGAAACAGGCTCCATGCAGGGAGCCTGACGTGGGACTCAGTCCTGGGTCTTTAGGATCACAACCCAGGCTGAAGGCGGCACTAAACTACTGGGCCACCCGGACTGCCCAAAAAAGTGCCATTTTAAAAAGAGCCACCCACTGACTGGGTGGCTCAGTGGATTAAGCATCCCTTTAGCTCAGGTCATGATTCCAGGGTCCTGGGATCGAGCCCCATGTTGGGCTTCCTGCTCAGCAGGGCATCTGCTTCTCCCTCTGCCACTGCTCCCCTGCTTGTGCTCTCTCGCATTCTTCTCTCTCTTTCTCTCTCTCTCAAATAAATAAATGAAATCCTTAAAAAAATAAAGTGCCTTTTCTGATACCCAACATTAATTTTTTTTATTTTACTGGGTTTTAATAACAGAAGTGTTACCCATCCCCTTTAGGATGAAAAGAATAGTGCCACAGAATTTCTTAAATATTTGGTTTACTATAATCTTTATGTTTCTAATTTAACAAAACTATAATTTTGACTGACCCAAAATAAAGTTTGAAAACAATAAGAAAATTTCCAAAAGGGCAAAATAAGCAGAAAAACATCCAGTATATGTCATATGGTTGCAGTTTGTGCCATAGGTAAATGTGACATGTCTACTTTATTTCCAGTGCCTAGCAGGTAGTAGAAACTAAAATGTTGTAATGAAAGCTTAAGGAGGAATGGAATTGTGTGGCTTGTTCTCTTCACAAGAAACTTTCTATTCTTGGCATTGTTCCTTTACTGTCGATAGCAGCGTTACCTCCTATTGAGAAGAGAGGTTATAGAATATCGGTGCTAGAAGAGATACTTTGAGTATTAGTCTGTATGCATAAACCCTACAGCCCACGTGGTTCAAGCATCTTGCCCAAATAAGAGCTGAGAATAAAACAAAAAATTTCGATGAACATTCAACCTCTTGTCTTCTTACTCAGAAGTCCTAGCTTTGCCATTCTCTTACTTCAGCCTCAGGAAAAGATATCTCTTATTACCAAAATTAATTCATCTCTGTTTTTTTCTTTTTTTGTAAGATTTTACTTTTATTCATGAGAGACACACGAGAGGGACAGCGACTTGGAGAGAGGGAGAAGCAGACTCCATGCAGGGAGCCTGATGCGGGACTCAGTCCTGGGATTCCAGGATCTCACTCTGGTCCAAAGGCAGGCGCTAAACCACTGAGCCACCCAGGCATCCCAATTCATCCCTGTTCTTAATTCTTTTGCACTCAGCAGATTTATTTTGGAGGTCTCCTGCCATCTCTAAAATCTTTATTATTCCTTTTTGTCTTATTTTCCCACTAGGCCAGGGTTTCTCTAGTTTAGCACTATTGACATTTTGGGCTTGGATAAGTCTGTATTGGGGGTAGGGCCATGCATTGTAAAATACTGAACAGGAACCTTAGCCTCTTCCTCACTGGATGCTAGTAGTACCCTTTCCCCCACCCCTGTGTGGCAACCAAAAGCATCCACTTACATTGCCAGATGTCTTCCCTGGACAGAGGGGAATCACCCCCAGGTGAGAACCAGTGCCTTAATTTTGCCTAGCTGCTCCCCTATCCTTATTATTTGGCTTATCAGAGGAACCAGTGACCTCTAAAATTGTTACATCCTTCCCAAAATTGATACAGTGAGAAGCCAAAACGTTCTACTACTTCTCTATCTAATTGAACATTCACTATGGTGATTTCAGTTTTAGTCTCTCTGTAAATTACCCAAATACATATTTCTAGTCCTGACTTCCTATGATAAACATTTTTGATGACTTCTCGGTCTTCTGCAGCCAAGGAGTTGTGGGGGGGGGGGAGTGCTGGAGAAAGGGTGTTGCTAGCATCCAGTGAGGGAGGCTAAGGTACCTGTTCAGCATTTTACAATTCTTTGATTTATTTCTAATATGTCTCCTTTTTTTTCAACCTCATAAACCAGTACTTACTCTTTTAATCTGAGCTCTTTTTTTTTAAATTTTTATTTATTTATGATAGTCACACAGAGAGAGAGAGAGAGGCAGAGACATAGGCAGAGGGAGAAGCAGGCTCCATGCACTGGGAGCCCGATGTGGGATTCGATCCCGGGTCTCCAGGATCGCGCCCCGGGCCAAAGGCAGGCGCTAAACCACTGCGCCACCCAGGGATCCCCTAATCTGAGCTCTTTTTAACATAACTGGTCTAACTTGAGACCCTCCTTATTCTAATCCATTTCACTTTTAACATTCTTACATTGTTCTTCCCAATGTGTTCTCTTGATGACATTACTCATCTGTATGAAACCACCACTGGTTTCCAACTTTGACTCCAGAATGAAGATTAAACACCTTTACATTATGACCCGAAACTAACTTTTCAATCTGAACTAGATGCCTTATAACTCATTGCAACTGAACTATTGATTTCTCTCCAGATTATCCCTATTTATGCCTTTAATTATATTCATTCTTAATGAGGAATGCTTGCCATTCTCATATCTACCTTTCTAGTTGTTTTATTCTGTTATTCCTAAAAAACTGTCCTATACTCCCAAACCCACATACAAAGTTTACTATTTTAGCATCTGCCAAAATTTCATTGCAGTTAAGTAGAAATTTCAGGCACAAAGCTAGAGACCAGTTTTTATCCTTCCTTTATTCCCTATTTAATATATATCACCGGGTATTGCCATAGTTGTTTCAAACCTCTATCTGAAGATGGTATGCTTTAAATGACTGAGTAGTCAGATGAATTCTACAGTGGGTATTTAGCTTATTCCATGGGTAAAAACAAAAATAGGTTTTATTGACAACATATGGGAAACACTTCCAAAGGACATCTGGGTGACCACTGATAATGTCTGACTTTTATTAATTCATATATAGCTTTTATTATATGAGGTACCTTAACTCGGGTACCTTAACTCAATGTTCACTTTGTTGAGAGTTTTTATCATATAAAAACAGCTGTTGGGGTGCTTGGGTGGCACAGTCATTTAAGCATCTTGACCCTTGGGTCGTAGCCCATGGGTCGTGTGATTGAGCCACACGTTGGACTCTGTGCTCAGCACACAAGTCTGCTTGGATTTCTTGCTTCCTCTGCCCCTCCCCCCAAAATAAATAAATCTTTAAAAAAACAAGGGTTGAATTTGCCCATTCTTTTTCTGCATCAGTTGAGATGGTCATATGATTCTTATTCATTTTGGTAATGTGGTGTATCATATTTAATCTGTGTTCATCAGGGATATTGGCCTATGATTTTTTGTGTCATTATCTGGTTTCAGTATCGGGGTAATGCTGGCCATAAAATGAGTTTGGAAGAGTTCCTCTCCTATTTTGGGGGAGAGTTGGAGAAGGATTGGTATTGGTTCTTAAAATGTGAAGCTATCTGTTCTTGGATTTTTGTTTGTTTGGAGGCTTTTGATGATAGACTCAGTGTCCTCACTAGTAATCAGTCTGTTTCAGATTTTCTGTTTCATCATTTTCAGTCTTGGAAGATTGTATCTTTCAGGAATTTATCCGTTTCTTTCCAGGTTGTTCATTTCTTTGATATAATTGTTCATAGTAGTCTCATATCTTTGTATTTTTGTGGTGTCAGTTGTAATATCTCTTTCATTTATGATTCTACTTTTTGAATCCTCTTTATTCTGACGAGTCTACCTAAAAGTCTGTCTGCTTTCTTTATCTTTTAAAAAAATCAGCTTTTAGTTTCATTGATTATTTCTGTTGTCATTTAAAACTGCTTCTGCTTGGATCTTTGTTGTTTCCTTCCTTCTCTAACTTTGGGCTTTGCTCTTCTTTTTTCTAGTTCCTTGTAAGAACCAGAAAGGTATAAATTAGGTTATACATGAGATCTTTCTTGTTTCGTGATGTGTGCATTTATCACTGTAAACTTTCCTCTTGAATTGCTTTTCCCACATCCCATACATTTAGCAGTATTTCCATTTTCATTAGCCTCAAGATATTTTTTATTTTTTTTATTTCTTCCTTGAGCCCTTGGTTGTTCAGTAGTGGCA